GCCAGACAGAGAGAGACAGAGAGACAGAAAGCGAGAAATCACCCCCCAAGGGGGATGGCCACGCCACAATCACTTCTCCTCCATTCTCCTCTCAGGATCTTGGGTACACATGTACACGCTCCTGGCATGAGTTTAAGCCACCGGGTCCAGGACACGAACTGCCGTCGACTACGTGGGAGTCCAGCAACACAGTCATTATGCTAACTGCTGGTCCCAAGTAAATAAACTTTTTAAAAAATTCATGGGACCAGCAGATGGTGTAGTGATTACCTCGTGGATTTCCATGTAGTTGCGGTTAGAGTCCCAGACTTGGTGGCTTAAAACTCATGCCAGGTACGTGTGCATGTGTGTCTAGAATCCCAAGAGAAGAATGGAGGAGCAGAAATTGCAGTGTGGCCATCTCCCCTGTGGGGTGATTTCTCACTTCTGTCTGGCAAGCACACACACCCTATGGCAAAATCTCTCTAAAAATAAATATTCAAGTAGCCAAGGAGGTGGCATGGTGTTTAAGGTGCTAGATTTCCACATGACTGGCCACAGTTCGAGCCCCAGATCTGATAGCTTGAAAAAAATCACACCCAATGTATGTATGTGTGTGCCCAAAATCCCAAGAAGAGAATGGAAGAGAAGAGATTGAGACATGGCCATTCCCTTGGGAAGAAATTTCTCAATTCTCTGTGTCTGGTGAACACATGCATACTATAGCAAAAACCTAAAATACATACATACATACATACATACATACATACATAAATATTCAAATATTGTACTTGACACTTAAAATCTTCACTATTTGGGGTCAGCAGGTGGCATAGTGCTTAAGGTGCTGGATTCCCACATGGCAGACTGCAGCTTAAGCTCCATACCTGGCAGCTTGAAAATCATGCAAGGCATGTGTTTGTGCATGCCCAAAATCCCAGTAGAGGAGTGGAGGAGAAGGGATTGTGGTGTGGCCATTTCCCCGGGAGGTGATTTCTCATTTTGCTTCTCTGTCTCTCTCTTCTCTCTCTGCCCCCACCCCTCGTGACCACACATACCCTATAGTTAAAAAAAAAATTCAGTTATAATGTTTACTGCAGTTTTTTGATATATGGATATGTAAGTAATATGTGTAATATGAATATGTATAAAATAATGTGTAAAAAAGTTATTCATTTACTTCATTCATGTCTTTTCATCTGTATAACCTTTGAAATAATGAGAAGACAGAGACCTCTTTAAGTAGCAATTAATGAAAGAGCTATACAGGCAGAACTGTGGATTATTAACCTTTCCAATCTGCTCAATGCCATACTGTTAAAAATATGTTTTTCTTTTCCTTTCTGTATTTTCTAAACTTTCTGCAATGAATATGTTAATTGTGTAATGGAGGGTAGAGCGAACCCTAGAATTGACATGTGAAAAATCCACAACACACCATTATACTTTCATTAGAAGTATAAAAACCTAGAGTTGAAAGAGACTGTGGAAGTGATTCAATTAAATCCTTTTAGTGATCAACAAAGTTTTCAGAG